GTGCGTGACGCATCCGGGCGGTGGCACTGGGGCCTTCAGTGGAGCTCCCTGTGGGGCCACGGAACGTGTGAGAGGTGTGCCGAAATGGGTGTGCGTGACGCTTGCGGGCGGCGGCACTGGGGCCTTCGGTGGAGCTCCCTGTGGGGCCGCGAAGCGTGTGAGGGGTGTGCCACCAAAGTGAAGGGGGTGACGGTGACGCGAGAACGGACGAGGAGGAAAAGATGCAAGAGATGCAAGACATAGGGACGCCAGCAAGTTACCCGCGAGCGCCCTGTGATAAAAGAGAGAGAGCCCCATCCACCCTCCCGAGCGCGCGTCGGTGCCTGGACCTCCAGCACCGTCGGCGTGCCGTAAAAGAAGACGCACGCGGCGGGGGGGGAAGGCGAACCGACGACGACGGGGGGGGCGGGGCCAACAAAACTACTCCTGGGTCACATTCCCAGAGAGACTCAAACCAGACTTCGGGTGCAGGCCCTCGCGGATATTCGCCAGGGACTTCCTCGCCCAGCCAGGCAGCGCACCCGAGCTCGGGGGCTTACGCACTGAACGCAGCTTTGGCCCCGACCTCAGAGCACAATGCGAACCGCGCGCCGTGCAGAAGATGTATGGGCCAGCACGCTCCATCACGTGCCCAAGAGAGGTGAACATCTGAAACTCACACTCCCCAACTCCCCCCCCCCCAGGCCAGGGCTCCGAGACAGATCCAGACCCAGGCCCGACAGAGCCAGACGCAGGCTCGGCCCCAGGACCCTCGGGCCCCAGGACCACGCGAGCACCAGGCGTCGCGGACTGGACCGCCTCTGGCCTGGCAAGGGGGGTCGCAGCGGCATACAATCCACCTTTGGAGAACGCAAGGCGGGCACGCTCACGCTGCAACGGGGAGGGGTTACATTCTCGCCCACTTCCTTGAGTGAGCCATTTACGCGAGGCATCCGTTTCAGCCCTGGCCAGGCAAGAGCGACAGACCAGGAAATCACCGACACACCAGAAAGCATGCTCCTGGAACCGGAGGAGGGGGGGCGCGCGGAGGAACGGTGGCCTAGGGATGTCTATCTCCTGAAGGGCCTCCAGCTGTCCACCCACAACCTCCTTATGCGCAGCATGCTGGGCAGCAGCCCATCCGAAAAATCTGGCGTTGTTCCTGCCAATAGCAAGCTGATCAGACCAGTAATCAACAAAGGAATCAGCGACCTTATGCGAACAGGCCCCCAACTTGGCGAACAAGTCCGCCCGCATGTTGCCAAACCACCAAGACACGGGCCATTGCCCCCGCTCGAGAAACTCCTCAAGAGAGATATGAGCAGGCACCCATTCATACATGGGAGACTTCGAATTCCCCCTTCCCTGAGCGACTCTAAAAATTTGCCTCCAGATGTCAGCGTGGGCGGCCGTGGCAGACGCATGCTCAGAAGACCATTCCACCCCCTCACGCACAGCCCCAAGGAGGTCCGAGACAGACAGCACTAAACGAGGCAACAACTGGAGCCCCCGCAAAAGCGCGTGTCTTTCAGCTCGGCCAACCGACTGGATGGGGCCTGGGAGCGGACCATAGGCCGCGCGAACTGGGAGACCAAACTCTCCCATCTGAACAGCCGACCATCCGCAGCGCCTGAATTCTGGCCAGGCGCTGTGCATCCCAGAGCCATCAAAGAAGGCAGTTGGGCCCCATCCCTCAGGCTGCGACCCCCAGTCCCCCCAGAAGAAGGTGGGGGGCTCAGAGGACGGAGGGGGGAGATCAGGAGGAGCCTGGGGGAGCCCAATACAAAACTTCAGCAGGTGAAAGCTGTCCTGTCCCAAGACATTGACTCCCTCCTCAGACAGACGATCACGCGTTTTTTTCCAACTCTTCAGACCAGGCTGGCAGACCGCCAGCGTCATTCTGCTCCAACAAATTCGGGCATTCGTACCACAGATGACCGAGGTCTCCGGCAGCACGTTGTCTGCGACATTCGGGATGTGGGCAGTGTGGCGTAGGCAACCATCCACGTTGATGTCGCTTCTGCACCGTCATGAATCCACCAGCCCACAGGCAACGGAGAGCACCCGCCACTTGTGCATTCTTGATAGTGGCTGCCTTACCACCAACGGCGAGGTGCACCGCTCTCATCCACAACGACTCGCCACCCTCCAAGTGTTCGGCATGATGCCCCAGTATCCTCCGACCTTGCCACCGTTGCACTCCGAGGCGCAACAACTTACGAACATCTTTGGGAGGCGTCTTTAACAGCGAAATCACCATGCCCGTGTCACTGACAATCAACGTGCTACTAGCCATCTCCCAGCCTACTCTTCGCAAAGACAGCCAGGTCGCCGCAATCGGTCCTCGAACCCCCTGCCAGCCAGGAGCACGCCCATGCCACAGGTCTAGGAGTACACGCCATGCCCTCTCGAGCTTGCCCATGTCCATCCTCATGTCGAACACGAAACAACTGTACGTATACACCATATTGAGCGTCGCGTCGAAGATCGGGTCCATGTACGGGTCCCGCTGAGACACAAGGTAGGCCGTGACGCTGACCCCTTTGGCGTGAACTCCAGCGATGACTCCAGCCGTCTGCCTGAGCTGCCTCAGGTCGCAATCGGGAACTCCCGAGACCGAGCTGCCGTGTGCAGCTCCTGCCAGCAGCCCAGTGCGCCAGATGGCCCCCACTTTGGAACCAGCAGTCCTTTGGAGCAACTTGACGCGCCCCATTCGTTTCTGCATCTTATCCAGACGTCCCTTCGCAACCGTGCGAATCAAACGGCCCCCCAACCATATCATGCCCCAAGTTACGCATCTGCTTCCTCTGAGTGAGCCTCAGCACTTTGGCCCACGGAGAAAACTTCTTGAGCGCCTCGCGGGTTGTGCCCACATAGCCCGACTTGACGGGCTGAACCAGTAGTCCAAGCCGTCTCATACCACTCTTGAACAAGCGAGTAGCCTTGACCAGCTCACCCATTTCTTGCAAGTCCTGCCCCACCCACTGCAGGGTTCCATCATCCACTAGAGCACGAGGGTGGATCGTCGGACAAATCTTCTTCACACTAATCAACGTACGAATCATCAACACCGTCAGCAAGGTCGTGGCGTGAGTGCATCCAGGCAGGATACCTTGCCCCACCTCGTGTAAGACAGACACCGACCCAAACGCCTTCACCGCCCGAGGCATCCTATAAGAAGTCACCAACTGCCACAGAAGTCGCAAAGGGTATCCGACTTCCCGAGCTTCACAAAACAGACTGCTGACCTTGACCGTGTCGAAACACTTCCACATGTCCATCATCACCGTGAGCGAATGCTCGCCCAGCAGCTTAGACATCTCCGCCATCGCATTGTGCATGAAGGCCGAACCCGACGACGAGTAACCCTTCCTGTTGCCCCATATCATCTCCGAGGGGAACTGCTGCAACCATTGCCGTGAAACCGGTCGTCGTACTCTCGCCCAGACCCGTATCAGCGTGTGAATGAGAGCCACCAGTCGAGTACCTCCTCCTTCCTTTGGGATCATAGCCATCTCGGAGTGGATACGATTCACTGGCCAGAGAAGCAAATCCTCGCACTTCATGAAAAACGCCGCCATGGCCCCCAAAGCATCACGCGACAAGAACCACAACGATCTGGGCTGCAGCTTCGACGGGCCCGCTGCCGTCTTCCACTTGAACGATAGAATAGCCTGCACCAACATATCCGTAGTGATGTAAGGCAGAGAAGGCCAACTGGCACTATCAGTCGGCAACTGTATCTCGCAATCCTCATGCACCGTCCATACCTTCAACCACTTTCGCATTTCACGATCAGCCAGCTCATGCGGTGACTGCTCACTGCCTGCCTCAATGATCTCCTGGGCTGCCTGTAACCTAGTAAAACGATGCGCACCACTTGCGCCTTTCTCAAATGCTGAATCCACGAACTTCTTCCATCGGGCCCGATCACGCATCTCATGTGCAGACCGCAGTCGATCATGAGCACCTTGGATATTGGCCGACACCTGGTCAAAATCACCACGCGCCAAAATATCAAAGCAAGATGACGGCAAAAAGAATTCAGACACCCATGCAGGTAGAGCTTGCAACGTGCCAACACAACCACGAACACCATGCATAAACCGAGCGAATTCCACCAGCACCTTCGCCAGCGCAGAGTGATCAGCCAGCACGTTCACAATTCTGATCCCGTCCGGCCAAATAAGAATCTGGTCCACCAACCTGGCAACGTGCACCTTTACCCTCCTGCAATGGACAACCCACTTTAGAGCAACCATCCAAGCCCTTAGCTCAGGGCCATGCTGCAACCGTCGAAGAGGAGGTCGCCATTTGGCCAGTGCCATCTTGGTAATTAAAGGGCCACCACGTCCAGACGTCGCCGAAGCCTTCACTCCATCTAAACAATCATAGACGCCCTGCAATTCAAATTCCATGCCCGCCAGCAACTCGTCCCAAGCCAAGCTCAAGTCTTCGCTGGTTTGAGCATAAAAAACCTGCCGTTCAACCTTACCCCAATACATTGGAAATCTCTCACAGCCAATCGGCGGCGTCTTTGGAAAGGGAGCTGGCTCCACAACATGACGAACCCATGCTGGCCTGTCCTCAGCTAACACGGGCAACTCCACAGGTAAATGAACTTTGATATAACTGTCGTCCACCACCTGAGGCCGTAGGACACGAGTACCCAAATTGGCACAAACCAGAGCGTAATCAATTATACTGCCAGGCTGCTCCAACACACATGTGGGCCTCGAAGGCGCTGCGACAAAGCCATTCACGCCTGCCAACCATCCTGAAGAAAGCAAATCAGGCGTGAGGTTCCAATCTCCCATGACAATCCAGTCGCGCCCTATTGCATTCAAAACTGCAAGGTACCTCGCGATCTTCAAGATTAATGCCTCATTTGCTGCACTCATTCCCTCACCAGAGATAAGATACACAGCAATGATAACTACCCCTCCTGGTACAATCCAGGAGACATCAGCAGCAGCAATACGACCAGGCTCCAACTCGTGCCCAGGGAGCTCAGGAGGCGCCTTCACCGCGATATGCGTCGGAGCCAGGATGGCTACTCCACCAGAATGCCCCGTAGCGCCAGTCTCCACAGCACCACCAAAGTACCCATGGAAGCCCAGATCATGAATATGAGCCTGCAACGATGGAAGATGCTTGGCTAACGTGCGATGCTCCTGAATCACCACGATCTTGGACCTGCACGTCTCCATGAACAATTTGAGAGGTCCTGCACCCTCCACATTGGCAGACGTGATCACTCCCTTCAACTTGAGGTCAGTATCAGGCTGCTGCCCAGACGCCAGAGCAGAGCTGGCCCCAGTAGACCCACACTTGGTCGAGGTAGAGGTCAGCGCCGCCGTCGGATTCTCGGTGATGCCGAAGAACTCGTCCAGGTCGAAGCCCACGTCGTCAGACTGCTGAAAATCCCGCTGGCAATCCTCAGCATCCAAACTGGAGTCCGCCACAACCTGCTGCTGCGGCAAAGCGTACAAAGGAACGCCATTACGCGGCATCTCAATAAGGTGCATGCACGACTGCCAGCCGCTGCCCACTTTGATTGAAGAGAGGCATAGCCGCCAAACGAGCAGCAGCCGCGCGAAGGCCCACAATGTCCTTGGGAACATGCTCCGCCAGCTCGGATGGGTACAGCGCCGCCAACGACTCCCGCAGCTCCTCTTCCTTGGCATCTGCGATGACCTGGTCCAACGACTTGGGCTTGGCGCCTCCTGCTGCTGCAGCTGCGGGCACGCCGCCCCCTGCCTCAGCACTCGGCGTGCCAGGCGATGGACCGCCTGCTTCGCCCAACGGCGTGCGAGGAACTTGGAGCGGCAGAGCAGCCTGTCCGTCTCGCTTCGACTCGTCAGCCTCTTGCCTGACCCAGAGCTTACACATACTGTCCGCAAGCACCTGCGCCAAGCCCTCCGCCTGCTCGGAGCCGAGACCCTGCGCCTCAAGCATCTTGCCCAAGGCACCAACGTCCATGGCCATGCCTTTGCCCTTCTCCTCGAGTGATGCTGGCTCAGGAGCCATTGGCGCCTGCTTCGTGAGTTCCTGCACCTGCGCGCTGAGCGACACCACCTCCTTCTCCTGCTCAGTGAGATTCTTCTCGGCCTGCTCCAGACTCTTCTGCATCTCACCAAGTTGAAATTTCCTCTCAGCCACCAACTCTCTCGACGCTTCCGCCCTCTTCTCCGCCGTCTTGAGCCGATTGGACATGGTCTGCAACTTCGCATACATGGGGCGAGACTCCTGAAGCGTGCTGTGCAAACGCTCCTTCTCGACCCGTAGCGACTCCACATATGCGCCCGCCTTGGACTCATTGCTATACTTGGACACAAACGCCAGCTGCTCATCAATCTCCTTGAGCCTTCTGCGAATGTCAGCCTCATCATCCTTTTCGCCAGCGTCGACCTGCATGTGGTCCCCGAGGATCCCACGTTTAGACTCAGCCTGAAGCTCCTTGATCTTCGCCTCCAACTCACGTATCTTCGCCTGCCCTGCTGCCTCAGCGGGCTGGTACTTCCACGGAGGCATCTTGGACTTGGCGCGGACTGAAGGCTCCGCGGGCTGAACGTTGCCCCCGAACATGACTCCTTTCGCCAAGCCGCACAGCACACACTTCTTTGCATGCGCCATGTTCCACCACTGCTTACCCATGCGATCATTCTTGCAATTCTTGCAATACCACCTGCACGCGGAGTCCTCGCGCGGTCCCATCGAAGCGACGTTGTGGGCCCACGAGAACACCTGCTCACCTGCGGGGCCGCAGGAGGCAGCCGAACGGCTGGGGCGGACCAACCGTCGGAAAGAAAGCTTGAATCTTCTCGAGCCAAAATGGCTACGGACGGACGAGGAGGAAGAGGAAGAGGAGGAGGAGGAGGAGAAGGAGGAGGAGGGAGGAAGCGGAGGAGGAGGAGGAGGAGGAGGAGGAGAGGATGAAAGGAACGTGGGGCACTGTCTCTTCAAAACGAGGACCCAACACCACTGGATGGTTGGGAGAACTAGGTTGGCGAAGGACCCAACCATATGCAGAGGTGAATACCGCTGTTGTGTGCACCGCAGTCGGAGGAGCTCCCCAGAGGGCCACGAAACGTGTGAGGGGTGTGCCAAAATATGTCCGGTGGGCGCGTGCAATAGCGGCCACTGGAGCCGTCGGTGGAGCTCCCTATGGGGCGACGAAACGCGCAAGAGGTGTGCCGAAATAGGTGCGGTGGGCGGATGCGAACGCAACCATTGGGGCCGTCGGTGGAGCCAAAGGTGCCGCGAAACGTGTGAGGGGTGTGCCGAAATGGGTGCGGTGGGCGCGTGCGAACGCAGCCACTGGCGCCTTCGGTGGAGCTCCCAGCGGCGCCACGTCAGGTGTGAGGGGTGTGCTGAAATGGGTGTGCGTGACGCATGCGGGCGGTGGCACTGGGGGCCTTCGGTGGAGCTCCCTGTGGGGCCACGAAACGTGTGAGGGGTGTGCCGACATAGGTGTGCGTGACGCATGCGGGCAGTGGTACTGGGGCCTTCGGTGGAGCTCCCTGTGGGGCCACGAAACGTCTGAGAGGTGTGCCGAAATACTTAGGTGTGCGTGACGCCTCCGGGCGGTGACACTGGGGCCTTCGGTGGAGCTCCCTGTGGGGCCACGAAACGTGTGAGGGGTGTGCCGAGATAGGTGTGCGTGACGCATGCGGGCGGTGGCACTGGGGCCTTCGGTGGAGCTCCCTGTGGGGCCACGAAACGTCTGAGAGGTGTGCCGAAATACTTAGATGTGCTTGACGCCTCTGGGCGGTGGCACTGGGGCCTTCGGTGGAGCTCCCTGTGGGGCCACGAAACGTGTGAGGGGTGTGCCGACATAGGTGTGCGTGACGCCTCCGGGCGGTGACACTGGGGCATTCGGTGGAGCTCCCTGTGGGGCCACGAAACGTGTGAGGGGTGTGCCGACATGGGTGTGCGTGGCGCATACGGGCGGTGGCACTGGGACCTTTGGTGGAGCTCCCTATGGGGCCACGAAACGTGTGAGGGGTGTGCCGACATGGGTGTGCGTGACGCACGTGGGCGGTGGCACTGGGGCCTTCGGTGGAGCTCCCAATGGGGCCACGAAACGTCTGAGAGGTGTGCCGAAATACTTAGGTGTGCGTGACGCCTCCGGGCGGTGGCACTGGGGCCTTCGGTGGAGCTCCCTGTGGGGCCACGAAACGTGTGAAGGGTGCGCCGACATAGGTGTGCGTGACGCATGCGGGCGGTGGCACTGGGGCCTTCGGTGGAGCTCCCTGTGGGGCCACGAAACGTCTGAGAGGTGTGCCGAAATACTTAGATGTGCTTGACGCCTCTGGGCGGTGGCACTGGGGCCTTCGGTGGAGCTCCCTGTGGGGCCACGAAACGTGTGAGGGGTGTGCCGACATAGGTGTGCGTGACGCCTCCGGGCGGTGACACTGGGGCCTTCGGTGGAGCTCCCTGTGGGGCCACGAAACGTCTAAGGGGTGTGCCGACATGGGTGTGCGTGGCGCATACGGGCGGTGGCACTGGGACCTTTGGTGGAGCTCCCTATGGGTCCACGAAACGTGTGAGGGGTGTGCCGACATGGGTGTGCGTGACGCACGTGGGCGGTGGCACTGGGGCCTTCGGTGGAGCTCCCAATGGGGCCACGAAACGTCTAAGGGGTGTGCCGAAATACTTAGGTGTGCGTGACGCCTTCGGGCGGTGGCACTGGGGCCATCGGTGGAGCTCCCTGTGGGGCCACGAAACGTGTGAGGGGTGTGCCGACATAGGTGTGCGTGACGCATGCGGGCGGTGGCACTGGGGCCTTCGGTGGAGCTCCCTGTGGGGCCACGAAACGTCTGAGAGGTGTGCCGAAATACTTAGATGTGCGTGACGCCTCCGGGCGGTGACACTGGGGCATTCGGTGGAGCTTCCTATAGGGCCACGAAACGTGTGAGGGGTGTGCCGACATAGGTGTGCGTGACGCATGCGGGCGGTGGCACTGGGGCCTTCGGTGGAGCTCCCGATGGGGCCACGAAACGTGGGGGCGGTGCCAAAGTGAGGGGGGTGATGGGAGGAGGGAGGAGGGGGGAGGAGGAAAAAGAACGCGGGGACCGTCTCTTCAAAACTACGACCCAACACCGCAAGATGGCTGGGAAAAACTGAAGCTCTTTGTCGTTTTCTTCTTCCAGGGGCCCTCTCCAGGCCTGGGACCGTCGAACAACCACTAAGGATGGAAAACCGGTCCCCGGGAAAGGCTCGAGCCCCCCTTAGAAATCGTGGGGGGTGTGGGCATTGACCACCGACATACCTGTCTGTCTTGATCCCCACAAGTCTGGCTTGATCCCCACATGTCGGCCGGCGAAAGGCCGTCAGGGGCCCCTCGGGGAGGAGGGCTCCCTCTGGTAGGCAGGACGCGCGTCTGAGAGGCCACCGTGCCCTCAGAGACAGGGCGCGCTCCTCGCGCCACCCCCTGATGGGCCGATTTTCTACTACAACTACCATAGGCAGGAGAAGGAGGAGAAAAGGAGGAGGAGGAGGAGGAGGAGGACCTCCCCATCCTCCCTTCTCCCCCGTCCTGCACATCGTAGTGGTGGTGGAAAATTGGCCCATCCTCCCCCCCCCCTCCCGCGCCGCCACCCTGCAGGAGCGCCCGAGCGCGGAGGGGGGCCGGGGAGCATCTTGCCGGCGGAGGCTCCACCAGCTTCGCCGCCCTCCGCCCGCACTCGGGCCGGTCCTGCCCGGCAAACCCCGCCCGGGGGGGCTGCTGGCACGGGCGAGCGCTCCCCAGCCGTCTCCCCCTGGGGAGCGGGGGTCGACCTGAACCTGCAGGAATTGTTTGGGTCGCGGCGATAACTCCACCTCCACCTCCTCCTCCTCCTCCTCCTCCTCCTCCTCCTCCTCCTCCTCCTCCTCCTCCCTCCTCCCTCCTCCCTCCTCCCCCTCCTCCTCCACCTCCTTCCCCCTTCCACCTTCTGGTAGTGGTGGTGGAAAACAGGCCCATCATTCTGGGGGGGGGAGCGGCGAGGGGGGGGAAGGAAGAGGGGGGAGAGGGGTGGGAGCACAACGCGCGTTATGGCCCAGAGGGTAACAGAAACACTCTCTCGATCGCCGAGGGACGAGGATGAGAGACGGACCGGTCGGGACTGCTCGAAGCCTCGAAGATCAACTGAGCTGAGCATGTCCTGGTGCTGGGTGCGAGGAGGTCGCGGATCGGGGGGGCACACCTCCTCCAGGCGTTCCGAGACGCGGCGGCCAGCAGCTTTTCTGAAAATTGGGGCCGCCCGCGGCCCGCCGCAAGAGAAGAAGTCAACGCGCGACGTAGCACCCCATCATCTCAGGACTCGCTCTGTGGACCTCATCGCTTCATTCCCTCTCCGTCCGCGCCCCTCCCCTCCCCATCCCCTCCCCATCCCCTCCCTTCCCCATCCCTCCAGCCCCCCTTCCCCACCCCCCTTCCTCCCCGGATCCCTTCCATTTACCCCCCCCCCCTCCCCCTCCCCGCCCAAGGCCCCCTCCCTCACCGCCTCCCCCCCCTCCCTCCCTCCCTCCACTCCCCGCTGCGAGCCCTCGGGCCGTGGCCGATCGTCTGCGCCGTCCGTGGGAAGGTGGGCACCCCACTTCAGCAAAGCCGAGCCTCTTCGCTGAATGGTAGCCTGGGGTAGGGGGAGCTTTCAGCGCCGCCGTCATGCGGGTTTGGAGTCTCTCTTGGGCGACACGACCGGGCCAAACAGCACACCCACGCTAGCACCTGCCACTGCTGCGCTGGTTGCTTGCCTTTGCCGCGCGCCCACGCGGGGCAGGAACTGCTGCGCACGAGCGCGGCCACGCTGAACCCATCGAGCACGACTTGGAGGAAGAAGGGGGGCCGCATCACAAACAGCCGAACAACCTTGGAACATCTCTAAAAAGGCTTGGAATAGTTGGCATCCCGTGGCCCGTGGAATCCCGGAGAAGGTCCTGGCGTGAAAAGACTTCGTCGACCAGCCACCCGTGCTGGCGCACCGCCCCCCGGCGCGGCGGCGCCGCTCACAGCGGCACTTGCTCCGGCGGGCGCAACGCCACCGCAGAGACCGAGGAGGGACAGGTGCCGTTGCCCACTCGGGGAAGGCAAGGGAGCGGGGAGGAGCAGCCCTCTCATGAGACGTACAGGGACATACTAATGCCAGATGTCATCCTTGGAGGCGCGCGTCCGACCCGAACATCCAATGTACCCATCGTGTAGTAGATCGTTTCCCGAATGGGGCGGCCAGGGAGCGCCCGCCACGACGCATATGCTATGCGACTTTTCGGTGCGCGCGTCGTGCCTGGGGAGGCGACGCAAACATAGTATCAGTATGTTGGGGGGACGCCGATTATCACGCACACACGGTTTTCATATACGTTGCGGATAAAGATGAGGGTGCGGCGGAAATGTCCGCAGTCTGCGGAACTTCGAAGAAGACCGCTGCAAGCGCCTGGTTCTCATCGATTATATCACGAACCCGCCGCAGGCGCCCGCTTCTTCGTTATAGCAGTGTGGGTGGGTCGAGGGTGGGTCACGGGCGGGTCGCGGATGGGTCGCGGGTGGGCGGCGGGACGTCGGCATTCTGCGAGAATCGGAAGAAACCCGCCGCAGGCGCCTAATTCTCACCATATATCATAATTAACGAGCCCGCCTCTGGCGCCCATGGGGGTGGGTCGCGGGTGGGTCGCGGGCGGGTCGCGGGTGGGCGGCGGGGGCGGAGGCATTCTGCGAGAATCGGCAGAAGTCCGCCGCAGGCGTCTAATTCTCACAAATTATACAACGAGCCCGCCGCAAACGCCGATTTATTCGTTCAATCAATGTGGGTGCGTCGCAGGTGGGTCGCAGGTGGGTCGCGGGCGGGTCGCGGATGGGTCGCGGGTGAATGGCGGCGACGTCTGCGAGGCTCTTGAGAAGCCCGCCGCAGGCGCCCAATTTTCACAAATCGTACGCAGCACCCCGCAGTCGCGGATAAGAGTGATGGGGGCGGCGGGAACGTCGGCTGTCTGCGAAAATTGGAAGAAGCCCGCCGCAGGCGCCTCAATTTTACAAATTGCACACCGAGCCCGCCGCAGGCGCAAAACGCTCGTTAAAACAACGCGGGTGGTCGCGAGGTGGGTCGTGAGCGAGTCGCCGGGCGGGTCGCGGGTGGGTCGCGGGTGCGTCGCGGGTGTGTCGCGGGCCGGGTAGCGTGTGGGTCGCGGGTGGGTCGCGGGTGGGTCGCGGGTGGGTCGCGGGTGAGTCGCGGGCGGGTCGCGGGATGGATCGCGTGCGGGTCGCGTGCGGGTCGCGGGGTGGGTCGCGGGCCAGTCGCGGACGGGTCGCGGCTGGGTCGCGGGGCGGGTCGCGGGCGGGTCGCGGGCCAGGTCGCGGGAGGGGCGACGCCAAACAACAACAAACAACAAACAACAAACAATAAACAACACACAACAATCAACACATAACAAACAACAAATACCAAACAATCACAACACCAACACCAACAACAACAACCGCAACAGCCACCACAAACTCAGCGCGCGTTCCTGTAGCGACCGCCCCTGCGAGGCCGCCAGTACCCCAACGTTGGGTGCGGCGCCCCCAGGGGGCGGGCCGCGCCCGCGGGTCTGCGCAATCGCCGCCCAAGGCGCGGCGCCCACCCCTGGCAGGGTCACCTGGGTGCCGATTACCCCCAGGGGCGGTTGAGGGTGGGAGAAAAAGCCGCGCCCCCAACTGCCAGCGCCGATGGCTGGCAGCAAGGAGTGAGGACCTCCGCGGCGCGCTCGCCGCGCGCGCGAAGCCGAGCCACCGCGACGCGGGATCCCAGCGGCGGTCACGCAAACAAGCAAACAGCGCTGGTAGCGCCGCGCGGCGCGGCGCGCGGCCCCTTTCGCAGGCCGTTCCTGCGCGGCGTCGCGCTCGTCGGCGGGCATGGCCGCCGACACCCCCGCGCTCCCGTTCGCTGTCGCGCGCGCTTGTGTCCGCGCAGCACCCTGCATGTGTGCGCCCCCCAACAACCAGAACAACAGCAACATCAACAACAACAGCCATTTTAAGGCTGTACGCTCTTACTTGCCCGCGATTCATTCAACACGTATACCCTACACCCTCGATGCCCGCCTTCTTCGTCTTCGATCACACCCCTTTCGGGGGGATTATTTCTCTTTGCTGGGGCCGGCGGGCTTAGACGTACGGGCAAACCGGAACGGGCGGACAATCTTTCGGGGGCGTACATCTTTCTGCCCGCCATTGGAATTGGCGCGGGCCCTGCAAGAGGAGGAGGGGAAGAACGAGGGAGAGTGGGAGGAAGGGGAGGGGGAAGGACGAAGGAAGAGGGAATATACCACGTTGTGAAGGCGTCCTTGGCGCGTGCGTGGTTCTTGAGCGCCGAAACGCAATTCCAGAATAATTTGTGAGGACGTCGCACGCGAGAGCGCAGTCCTGAGTACATTGTGAGGAAATCTCGGGCGGAAGCGGGGGCCCTGACGAAGTTGCGAAGAAGTCTCAAGCGGGAGCGCCGTTCCCACGTAAATTGCACGGAAGTCTCAGGCGGGAGCGGGGGTCCTCACTAAATTGCGAGGAAGTCTCAGGCGGGAGCGCCGTTCCTGAGTCAATCGCGCGGAAATGCCAGGCAGGAGCGGGGGTCCTGAGTAAAATTCGAAGAAGTCTCAAGCGGGAGCGCCGTTCCCACGTAAATTGCACGAAAGTCTCAGGCGGGAGCGGGGGTCTTGATTACATTGCGAGGAAGTGTCACACGGGAGCGCCTTTCCTGAGTAAATTGCGCGGAAGTCTCAGGCGGGAGCGGGGGTCCTGAGTAAAAATCGAGGAAGTCTCAAGCGGGAACCGTTGTTGTTGTAGCCCGGGGGGCAGGGACACAGTTTGAGCAGGAAGACTTTCCTTGAGAAAAAACAAGGTGCGAGCCCCGGGGGTGGCAGTTCAATCGAAAAAAATAAATGTGCACCGGTGGGGGGGGGGATCAACAATAATTATTCTTCAAGAATGAGAGTTCAACAACAACAACAACAGCAGCAGCAGCAGCAACAACAACAACAACACCAGCACCAACACCAACAACAACAACAGCAACACCAACAACAACATCATCAACAACAACAACAACAATAACAACTACTACTACAAAAACATCAACAACAACAGCAACAGCAACACCACCAACAACAACAGCAACAGCAGCAACACCAACAACATCAACAACAACAACAACCAAAACAACAACAATCATGTTACCCGCGTGCGCGATGTTTCCACACGAAGCATGCGACCAGCACGATAGCCATCCACTTGATGGGGGACTTTTGTTCTATGGCGGGGTCCGTTATTCCCATTCCCGAATCTCCCGCCCAATGAGGTCTTGCAAACACCTCCTCCGAGGAATGTCGACATATCCCGCCTCGAAAACACATGCCCGCGCCTTGCTGCCCCGATGCGAGACCGCCAGTTGAAACCCAGCGAGGGGTAAAGCACAAGGAAACATCGAACGACAGGGTTGCCTTGGTGGGCATAAAGGGGGCTGTCGGCGGTAAGGCAAGGACCCGGCCCTGGATAGGAAGGGAAAAAACCTCGAGCAGGGCTGCTGTTGTTACTGGGGGCGGCGCCAACGTTGAAGAGAGTACGGTGCTAGCCCAGCATGAAACGGAAGGAAGTCTCGAACGGGAACGCTGGTTTTGTTGGGACGACGGGTTTCGGCGGCGAGGAGGAACGCCGCCTTGAATCAGAAACGAAGTAGCATCGAG